TTCCTTCCTTCCTTCCTTCCTTCCTTCCTTCCTTCCTTCCTTCCTTCTTTCCCTCCCTCCCTCCCTCTCTCTCTCTCTCACACACACACACTTTTGGTTTTTTGAGACAGGTTTTCTCTGTGTTGCTGTGGAGACTATCCTGGAACTAGCTCTTTAAGACCCAGGCTGGCCTCAAACTCACAGAGGTTCGCCTGCCTCTGCCTCCTAAGTGCTGGGATTAAAGGCATGCGCCAACACTGCCAGGCCGATTTTTGTAATTTCTTTATAATAATGGCTGAACAATTGTCTTAGGAGATTTCTGAAAATTTAACAGCTGGGTCTTGGCAGTTCATCTAAGTGCTTGAACTCACAGCTCTGAGTGCAACTTCATAAATGGAAACAATCTAGTTATCGAGCAAAATAGATGTCTAGAGAGATGATGCTGAGAAAGGCCACTCTCTTAACACTAACTGTTGTTTCTGGTTTATTCACAGGCATTTCCCTGCATTTCAACAGGCATTTATGGTGAGTGGTTTAGCATTTGATGGTGTTTGTAATCGTTTGTTTTGGTTGTTAAGTTGGTGGGCAGGGGTAGGGAATGGTTAACTGGAAAACTACAAAATTCTATGAATATATTTTTCTGTGACTTAGAGGGATTGAAATGTAGGTCAAGTCCCACTAAGGAGCCCCAGATTGGTTTGTGGTCTTGAATTTGGTTGCATTGAATATCCAGATGAAATGATTTGACGCATGATGTCTCCACGTCTTTTGTTACATATACAAAAAAAAATTGTACTAGCAATGTTGACTTCTAAAATTGTTTTCTCTATTATAGTCAGATTTTTCCTCTCATAACATGTATTATATACATAAAGTCTAGCATCTTTATTTTATTGTGGCTTACAAAAAATTAAAATGCACAAACATATACATATATATTAAACTTTTAAGATATACAAAGAAGTAACTTAATAAAAGTAAAAATATATTTTAATAACCTGATTTTTTCCTGATATAGATGAATTGTTTTAAGTAGTGAAAGGCGGACTTTTTCTTAACCTGGTATTCCTTTAAAGGCCTTGATGAGAATAAAATGAAAAATGTCCCACCAAATAAAATGAAGAGGCCAAAGACTTGGTCATCCATCTAGACATTTAAGGTAGCACTTTATCCTTGGTCATACATCAAAACATTTAAAGTAGCACTTCCTCCTTGGTCATACATCTAGACATTTAAGGTAGCACTTCCTCCTTGGTCATACATCGAAATATTTAAGGTAGACTTTGTCCTTTTCAGATTGCTCTTTACAAATCATGAGCCCATGTGGTAGGCATCGACAAGTGAGAACTGGACTCTCCTAAGACATTTGTCTATATCCTTTATGTTGCTCCCTCCTCACAAATGTCCTGTTAAAAATCTTAACATTTGCATAAGAGAAACATTGTGTGCAGGTGGTAACATGCTCGATTCTAACCTTCAGTGTGTGAGGAGTCTAACCAGCTAATGCTGCAGACATGGTTCTCATTGTAAGAATGTTCCTTCATCATGATCCTGATTTTCCTCAAACAATGAACAAATTAAGACTGCCTAAACCACCACATTGGACCTTTTGTCTATTACCATGTCAAGCCATGGATGGCTTTTGTTTCTGAAAATACTTAGTAATGTGCAAAGAATTATCTTAGGGTATGCTGTGTTAAGAAGGAAAAATAGAAAAGTAAAGGACGATGAGGAGAAACTATTAAAATAGACCCCAAAATAGACAGGAAATACAAAGTCTAACCTAAAGTAGATCCCAGTCACTGCTCTTTCCAGAAGAATAAGAATCCCTGTTGGAGAGGGAATATGAAGGAGAATCTAAGAGCTGCCTCAGTGTTCCCTCGGGAGGAGAAGGCATTAGTGAAGACAGGATGAAAGCAGAGTGGCTCACACTAACTCACTGAAGGCATGGGCATATTTGCTTTTCTAATCACTGTGAGGAAATGTTTGAAAAAGCAGCTTAAAGAAGAAAGGGGGTTGTTTTGGCTCTAAGTTTGAGGGTACAGTCCCTCATGTAGGGAAGACTTGGTTGTGAAACATATGTGAGCTGGTCAGATGGTCCGCATAGTCATGAAGTCAGTGTGAACGGTGAATGCTCCTTGACTCGCATCCTCCTCTTCTTCAGTCTAGGGCCCCAGTCCATGGGGCAGTGCTGTGTATGTTCAGGGTGGGACTTTCCGTCTTAATTTAGCATCTACGAAATACCTTACAGGCACATAGAGAGGTAGATCTCCTAAGTGATTGAAACCCAGTCAAGCTGACAATGAGACCTAGTCGTTGCCATTGCTGCCAGGAAAGTATATCCATTTCCACAATGCTAGGTCAAAGAATACAATACTCACAGAGCAGCTGGCTTCTCATCTTGATTCTCTTAGTTTGGAGAAGTTTACGAAAGAGGATGAAACCCATGACAGTCAGGGGCCGTGTTCAGTTTTAATCCATGGCATCTCTTTCACTAACTGGTAGAAAACTCCAGGATGCTCTGTTTCATTGCCCATTCTACACTGGGCAATCTGAAAGTGACACTCAGTTCTCTTATGAAGTCATAGCTTTCAGATTAGCCCTTGATCCTTTGGCAGAGGACACATATATTGTTGAGTGGTTGTTTTCTTATTCTTATTCAAAGTCTGGTAGCACCTTGTCCTTAATTAGCTGCATTAGTTTTGCTTTTACCTTGGTCTCTGGGAGGTTGATTTACTAATACATTTAAAGAATGTAGTCTTTGGCTGTAAAGGAAAAATCAATTAAAAACCAGCAAAGACTGAAAATTGCAGTTCCTGGTGAGGTTGATCTTGAGCAAATTTTGAGAATAATCTTGGGTTCTATTTCCTGCCTTTCTTACTCCATACATCAAGCCGCACTAGATTAATTTTTCTGTGTGGCCACTTGCTGCGCGCTTCCCATCTGCTCAGGAGCCTTGGACGGCATTCGATTACTTGTGAGTTCATCTTCACTCTCTCTCCTTGGAACAATGGGCACTTTCTATTTATATTCCCTACAGCTATCACACTTTCAAAAAGAGAGGAAAAAAATACCCAAACCCTGTCTGAGAGGATGTGAAGTAGTGTACTCAGATTTATATGATTTCACATGCTTAAAAGAAGACTTTAGTTTGCAGCAGCTTTGTTTTGCTCTTCATTGTTTGAGGCACTTGAACTTGTGATCTTGTTGTCCCAGCCTCCTGAGTACTGGGGCTACAGGTATACAGCAGCATGCCCAACTTGAACAGTTTTTATTTAAGTAATTAATTAATTTATTTTTGCCAGGAAAGTTATTTTTGATGAAACACTTCTTAGGACCAACTGTTTTTGTTTCAGACCATCATTTGGCATTCGTCTTTCCTGACACGCCCTCTGCAACACAAATCTGAGAACATATGAATAACAAGGTCCAATTATTCATCCATCATTCCTGTAATACACTCCTTTATATCACACACATATAGACACACACACACACACACACACACACACACACACACACACGACAAAGTTTTAAGTTATCTCTGCATATGTCCATCTTTGCTTTCTAAGAAATCCAAGAAGAATCATATTATGCATATCTGAGCAGGTTGCCCTTCCATCTCCAGGAAGCCTTGAGAGTCCATCTCTCAGAGATCACTGCACCTCCTAAAACTTTTGAGCATTTGAACGAGACTGATAAATGCTGTTTTGTGTTACTCCACACAGTGTTCTGAATAAGCTTTGCACTCACAGAGGTTTGGGTGATTATTGTCATTGTCATCATTATTATTTCGTGTTGTGCAGTGTCAAAGCCAGGAAGTCTTGCACTTGCTAGGCAGGTGCTGTACCACTCAGCTGAACCCCTTAACATGCAGTCTTCTTCAAGAACCACAGTATTCTGGAGCATACACTGTGTGTACCCCATCCCCAGCGGAGGAGCCCTGTGTCCATTGATTAGCAAGTATTTATTGTTGTTGAGAGTAATAATGTCACACAAATTGTTGCCTTATTGAAGATATAGGAAACTGAACTTTTGATTGGCAAAGGAACAGGCAGAGAAAGCTAATCAGTTGTCATTTTCTTTTTAAAATTTCCCCTGACATGTAAAATATAAATATTATACAGAGTCATCGGATTTCATGGAATGTTTCGTTTTGTTCTTATATGGACACATTGTACAATGCTCAAATCAGGCTGCATATATTCATGACCTCAATCATATTTACGGCCAACACTTTCAAAAATCATTTCCCATCACTTTTGGAAATAGTTGATACTTTGTTATTATCTACAGTTTACCTGCCCAAGCAGTATTTTCTTAGAGACAAACAATGCTAGTTTCGAGAAAAGAAACATTTGCAAAGAGCATTCTCAAACTGGAACTGGTGTTTGTGGGCATGGCAGATCAAATGATGCAACAGAACTTGTTCATTCGAGAGCGCAGATTGATCAGGGCATTTCACTTAAGCAGAAACGTTGTGTGGTCTGTTACAGCTACTAGGACTATGATTAGTGGGGAACATAGTGGCCAGGGAGCTGGCATATTGTGACTTCTGACACGGCTCATCCCCGGGCTTCTCCAAAGCTGCCACTTATCAGTCACTTGCTTTGACGGTATCATCACTTGATAGAGTCACGGCCTGAAAAGGAGCTGCCATCCTATTCTCTCAATTTCGAATATCAGGGATCCAGCTTTTGAAAATGTTTAGTTAAGGCCCAAGACACCCTAGTGCCCATGTAACATATCCAGCATCCTCATCTGACAGAGAGTCAAAAGAATGATCATATTCCAAGGGTGCCAGCAGGACATGAATAACCCAGCACTCAGGACCAGTGGCCCTTACATAAGCTGCCCCATTCCCATCATTTTCCCTACTTCTTTGCCTTGGGGAGGCAAACTCTGGAGTACTCCAAAATCAACTGAGGACAACAGCCCACCCCATAATTCAATCTCATTTAAGGAAGAGACATAGTTGGAGCAGACTCTGCCTCTTTTGAAGTTTCCTGGGAGGAGAAAAACCGAACTTTACCACAGGGCCTATCAGCACTGTCTTACTTTCTGCCCCTGCATAAGATTTTCAGCACAGCTGCCCAGGGCCCCAGACGTCCTGCTTACTCTCAGGATGGAAAGCCTCCTTTAGGAGGGCACCGAAGAAAAGCCAGTGCTACTTTTAGAAAAATAGATCCAGGTGAGGCTAACACTCCCGATCCCTGTTAAACATTTGAACTGACCTCCACCTTAGTCTCAGAGGGACAATTCTGAACTTCTCTGATGGACTTTTCAGACCAGATGCGTGCATTCTGCCCTCTAGGCCCCATTCGGACACTCTAGTGCTAATAAGTGTTATAAAAAGGAAAAAAAAAAAGACCAGACATGATACAGAGCAAAGGAATTTTTACTAGAAGCAAATGGCAAAAACGGTTTCAGTCTGCTTTATGATAGTTGCTAGAGTTAATTGATACAAAGTCCAGGCAGAAATGTCCATTGAGTACTGGGAAATTGAGTAAATAGTCTCTCAGAAG